CGCCTTTCGGCTGACAAGACGCTCAATAATCGCATGTTGAACTACGTAGTGGTATATGAAACTTGCAAGGAGAAAGTTGGTGGGCAGAGCCTACAATTCATCCGTTGGGTGTAAGTCTGTAATATATGGGGCAGTGAAGCGTTTCCCCCTCGGCCCGCACTATACTACCAGATGTAGACGGGCCGTACGTGACGAGAGGAGAAGGGTTCGTTCGACATGGGTCCAGACCGCCTTCTTAGTCGACCTTTCTGCCTAGTATTCTAACAGTATCTTATCAGTCTTACTTCCGGTGGCTAAGAAAGATGATTCAGACTATGGATCCGGTTACTATTGTCTCAAGGGTGTGGGGTTTGGCGTTGTGCTGGAGGGCTAGGTAGGCGCGGGCCGCTGCGGTCATGCTTTCTTTTGTCTTCTTTTCTCTCCATTTCTTGACAGTATTGATGGGGGTTGGCTCAATTAGGATACTTGCAGTCTCAGCTGGAGGTGATAAGACTTGCAGATGGGGCGATTTATGACTATTCATATCGACTATTTGCTTGGTGTTTTGTTTGCTTCAGGGTATATCGTACGCTTCAGCCAATCAACATGGAGGGCGCGCTGTGATTGAGGAAATGCGGTCCTAAATTGAGACGGGCACTGGTAGGGTCGGTTGATAAGGGCCTGAGAGTTGCGTGGATCACTGGCTGAGATGCGCACACGCGGTGATGGTATCTTTGCAGGATGCTATCCCTTCTGGGTATCGCAAGATCCGCCAGGCTACAGGGAACATAGACATGATCGTCGCCAGCTGAGCGGCAACGTAAGAGTCCAATTAGCGAGGCCAAGTCTTGCAGAACGCATACCACTTATGGTGGGGTTGAATTCAAAGACATGCAGTCGTCAGGATTCCACCGATGTTCCAATCCCGAACTGCGCGGCCAAGTAATCTCATCACGAGAACCCGGCCTTTGAGGCTTGCTGACGATCACTAGAGCAGGGGCATTTTCAGCTCAATAACGTGGATCGTTTTGAGCTACCGGTTGGCCCACAAAACATGCAGCTTTCAGGTTGTTGGCATTCCCTTTGTGTTTTTTTTTTTGGCGAGAACTGATTGTAAAGAAAAGGAAGGACGTCGTGAATCCACCGAGACTAGAGACTAACGCTAATCGTCACCAAGACAGGCATCAGATGCCATAACTTGTGCCTGTGCCATGCGTCACGATATAAAGTCCGTCCCAAGACCAGCCGCTGCCGTGAGTCGTGAGCGTAATTGAAGTTGGGAAAGTCATTCGCGAATCTCTTCCTCCAAGCTCCATCATGCCCAACAACTATGTGCCGTTGAGTCAGTCCATCACTCCATTTCTATTTCGAAGTACCTATTAATCAAACACAGGTCGCGAGCAGTTTTGGGATGGGAATCGCGAAATGATTGGCCTGACAGCCGAGTATCAGACTCGTGTTGAAAAAGCCGTCGCCGAGGGCTTTCTGAAGAACGGTCGCAGCCATCCATGGAATCCCACGACTCCTCGACCAAATATGCCCAAGTTCTATATCATGAACTTTGGGTCACATCCTGTTCAATGTGGAGTGATTCATGGCGAATTGAGCATCAGGGAGTTGTTCGAACATTTCGAAAAGGCGCATGACACTAATAAGCCTTTCAGGAGGCTCATCATACTGGAAGATTTGGATCCGCGGATGGCAGAGATGCTCGGAGTCAAGCTAAACATACCGCCAGAGTTTTGGCTTGCCCATTGCGATGAAACGTGCCGACTAAATCCGGTTGATGGGATCCGAAATAGACAAGGACGATCCAGGTATTGGAGAGTTTCTGTTCCACAGGTTCGAGCAGCGCCTACGATGGTAGAGCAAGAAGAACCCGAATACGTAATCGAGGCAGGGGCTTTCAACCGGTTTAATGTAGTCCTCCCTAAAAACGGGGCCCTGGGATCTATCGCATTCTACAGTCTCGTTTCTTTCTGGGGCATGCCGCATGGTCAGGATGGCTGGACAAGTGAGTTATCAGACCCCCAGACCTGTCTCTCGAGCGCATCTAATGATACTCTCTTGGAGTTGTTATCCTTGTGGATCCCCGGCAGACAACCCTTCGAAAGCTGAAGGAAGGACGGAAGACGGACAGGATCAGTCTGTCGGATATTAGATACATCCGATTGCATTTCACCAAGGAGGTCATCGTCGGCGCCAATGATGCACCACTCGTCGCTCCACATGCCTGTGTGATATACGATCACCTTCGCCTGGCATACGATAAAAACCTCGATATCATTTCCGACCTGGGGGATCCCTTTGTTGCGACTGTTCCTGTCCGAAACCTCATTTTCTCACTCTGGGAAGAATTCGCCTGCCGCCATCAGTCGGACCTTTACGACGAGCTCTTGTATGACGAAGCTCAATGGAGGGACTTTAGCAGCGCTGCAGCTGTAAAACGGCTAGAAAGCGACTTTGATACCGACGGCAAGGCCTACCAGCATATTGTCAACGAGGGACGCACCATCCGCAAACACAGGCGTATCATGAAAGACATCAGAGATTGCTTCCTTGCCCCCGACGTTGACCAATGGGGAGCAGATTCTGGCATTACCGCTTTGACATTCGGCTCAGTCAAGGATTCTACTCAAGGACAAGGCCCAGTGGAACATTGGCAAGGCATAGATCACACCCAAAGACAAGTCGCGATGGAACAAAGACGTTGGAACAAACTCGACGATATGATGCAAGAGGTTGAGAGGACATTTGAAACATTCATGGATAACTTTGCGAAGCGGGCCGATATGCAACGTTTCTTTGTAAACAATCGACAAGCTCGAAGCGCGGGGCAATTGACAAAGCTAGCCACGGTTGCTGTCCCGTTTTCTATAGTCTCAGCGATATTCTCGATGGGAGGGGACTTCGCTGCGGGGGAGAGACTCTTCTGGGTCTACTGGGGCGTTTCCCTTCCGGTGACTGGGCTCTTGTTAATCTGGATCATCTTTTCGGTCGAGATTACCGAGTATAGGAAAAGGGTTGAGAATGATCTCAAGAAGGCATGGCCCAAGAGGACGAAGGGGAACCACCACTGCAAAAATTGCACGTGCAACAAAGGTACCGATGAGAAAGTGTGATCACATAAACTCAAGACGGAGGAGTCTGAGATTGCATTTCGCAGTCTTATCTCACTTTAGACTCCGAATGCATATATTCGTAAGGATCTGGACAGTCGCCTGAAGAGCCGGAAAGTGCAACGCTACGTAGTTACTGATGCCAGAATTGCATTATTAGAATTGTACAAACTGTCAGTGAAACCCGCTAGAATTCGACAAGCGCCATTCATACGTTGAACGAGCTCAGAAAATCATAACGACAGTTAAGCGAGAAGTCACTGGCAGCAATAATAGTGCTGTTCGAGATTGTCCCAAATCAGTAGTCTAGATCTGACCGTTGAAGAGCTTCTCCTGGAAGTTGGGGCAGTGTAATAATGAATGAACCCATATCGCAAGACTGTGACCTAACTAACCTGACATAGCCATTCTTAGTTAAGTAGCATGCCCATCAAATTGTTTTGTAAGTTGCTTTACAATTTTGATACGAAGCTTCCACGGTATTAAAGTATGCCGAGATTTCTGATATTATATGCCTTGTTTCATAAGCTTTCAGAGAAGAAAGGCCCCGAGCGGGAGAAACTTAAGTAAGACGGCTACAGAGGATTGACTGAGCAGTATTTTGATAAGCCTAGGTCTACCTGTGAACGGGTTATTGCTGAGCAAGGAAACCCGCCTAAAAACGTATTTGGGACCGAGGATATGATTGAAGGTTTAAGGTGTAGTGGGTATGCTGAAAATATTAGCGTGATGAATGCTTACTTACGTTTATAATGATAGTAGCCAGAAGAGAACCCTCGACTGGCTCGGCTCTTGCCTAGACTGGATGTGATAGTATGTTTTAAATATTGCTTTGAAGGGCATATCGGCTATCTCTATTCATTATCTACCTACGCTTCTCGACACGCGGTCAGCTGTCGGAGCAGAGACTGGAGAGCTACATGCGTCTCCTCGTTTCCCTCTACGTCCGACAAGGGAATTATCTCGGGAAAGAAGGTCTTGATTGAGCTTTGTCTCTCACCCCTACACGCAAGTTCTATGAGTTCGATAATGTTCGCACCTATTTTACGTATTTGCTACTTCAGTGGTTGGCAAGTCTTGCGAAGCTCAATATCCTATTAATGCCATGCCATCTTGCACTTGGCGATGTTTTTGGGAGGGATTTGATACCAATAGCTGTATAAAGGTGCGCTATGCTTGTAAATTCTCTTCGCTCCCGTCGGAAAGGAGGAAGAACGGTTCAATTGGTGCGGCTAGGCGAACGACGGTTAGCGGACCGCTCTATAGAAACGCGTATTAGTACTTGAGTTGCTTAAAAGGGTCGGCTTGATTTAGGGAATTAGACTACTTAGGATATTCGTGAGAATATAGTGTGAAGATAAGATGCGAATGAGCTGAAATTAAAAACGGACACAGGAGGGGGGAAGGTTTTAGGGGGGGGGGGGGGGTGGCAGCAATAGGTAGTTGAATGTAAGATTAATGTTGAAGCCATGATAGTCGGGAAACGTCGCATTTGACTGGTGTTAGATGGCCGACATCACGACGGTCGCACGTTCTAGAGGTTTCTATGGGGCCGTAAATACAACAGCTGTCGAACTAAATCTGGTCTGCAGATTGCCTCACATCCGGATTGGCTTGAAGTTTAGCATACCCGTCCTCCAAGAATAAACAGCATGCCGACCATAACGACCAGAAGTGGATACCGCTGCCCATCATCCGAGCATCAAGCGCGGGGCGGATAGGCAGACATCTCGCAGGCTGACTCCGTGCGGGGTAATTTCGTCCACACTCATAGCATCCGTCGGACAACAGCCACTTTGAACTGTTCTTGTCCCAAGACTATTCGCAGGAGACAGAGGACATGTAGCAATCGAGGAAGGCAATCTGTCATCTATACTCTCCGATCAGCATTTCAACACTCCAATGAACGAAACCGTTGCTCCTTCCACCAGCGATGACCCTGCCGTCGACATGGCAAACGATGACGATCACTCTCGCGAATCCATGCGCGACAACAACCCTCTCCCAACACATAAGCTCGAGCACTTGAAGGTTGGCGCAAATGGTGTACAGCTCCTGGTGTCTACAAAAAACCACTTGTATGATGCCAAGAACGTTGAAGGCGGCGACAGCTCGTTCCAATGCGTTGGGGCTTGGGGCGAGGGGTCTGTCCAGGAACTTGGAAAAATGGTAGTTTCGCATCGAACACATACGGACCGGCCACATAATACCCCTCCTGCAACGACTTTTCGAGGGACAGGACGGACGACGGCCTCCTTTACACAAGATTCTGGCCCATCTACGACGACAACATAGAAGGGAGTTGGCGTGTTTAATGAACCTTGATAACTCTATTTTTTCGTTTGGCTCTGGAAGAAAATCCGCAGTGCCTCTTCTGATACCGATCCGACAAATTGTATGCCTCTGTCGCCTGTGCTCGCTCCTTTCACGTTGAAGAGATCCCCCAGAGTAGAGACAAACAGCTGCTGTCCATCATGGCCTGTGCTCATGTCCTCCAATACATGGACCCCCTTGACTGCTCTTTGTGATGCGGCGTTGCATATGGCCAAACATTCTTTAGTGCTGTCGAGCTCTTTCTTCAAGCTTTGAATGTCGGTTTCTGTGGGCAGAGAAATCTCGCTGGTTCCTCGTGCCAATCGTCTCTTGTTCTCATCTTGGTGCCGGTGCAGCTCCGACACGTTGTCAGCTATCATCTGCTTGCAGTGGTCCAAAGTCGATAGAGTCATGACAGTCGCGTGCCCCAGGTCCCGGCAGGACATCCCTTGCGATGGCGGACTGCATGGAATTGGCTGAAGGCGCATGGTGTCGATGTGGGCTTGGACTTTGGCACAGATCTGGAGGCAAACCTCTGTGCTGTCCCTCTCGTTCTGGATCCGATCTATATCGGTAGTAACTGCCGGGGATGAAGGTATATTGTTTGAAGCAAGACGGCTCAACTTCTCGTTAATATCTTCGAGGTGATCCTCCAGGTCTTGTGTTGTGCTGTGGATCATGTCCTTGTACTCTCCAAGCAGCTGAATGGTGACCGTAGCAGAGCGACTGCCTCGTATCATTAGCACGCACAATACACGAGATATCTCGATGAGTGACTGACAGATTCGCATCACCTAGGGCGATAGCTATGGTTGATTTATAGCCCGCTAGCATACTGGTGAAGCCGTGTATATCGCTCTCCATATACCTCACTTTTACCCAGCCTCGGAAGCTAGTTCTCGGCCGCCCGGAATACTTAGTGCACTCAGTCATCAGCGTATCGAAATCAGCACAAGCTCGACGACATTGAAGGAGAGGTGTCTTGAGCGAGGCTAGATTCGCGTCATCCTCGATCTGGATGTGAGTGTCCAGGGACTGGAGAACCTCTTTCAGGGCCGAAAGTTCATCCAAGAGTTGCTGAACCGATCGCTGGTGACTTCGAAAGCTCTGGATTGTATCATACAGAGTTTGGCTTGTCTGTATCGTCGCCGTGACTATGGCTATTAGCGCCGAGGCAATGCCTAGGGCTTCAGCCATCGTCGGTAGTCAGGGGTGACGCTGTTATGTCAAATGGCAAGGAGACGGATTGCATGAATACCTTCAGCATTAGTCAGGGACTCCGCGCAGCTGCTGGCCTCTTCTACCTTACTGTCCACTGCATATCGAACATAAAAGTGGACCCGTCCTCCCTCTAAACCCGCGTCCTTGCTGCAGTGTACTTCCCCGTACGATTACTCACCAAACGCATACGATGCGGTGGAACACATAAAACGTTGTATGCTGGTCTTTGTCTCCATGCCGTTGAAAGGGATTGATAGTCTGTCGTCCCAAATAGCTAGCATTCCATGGCGACGAAGGAGACCAAGTGAACAAGTAATGGCAGCTGCGTCCTCGGCCGAATCGCTGTCGAACACAGTCAGCTCTTCTCAGTGGAACCTTGTAATCCCGGCCCAAATTTCATAATACCTTCCATGCCCTGTCTTGGAACATTCAAACTCACGAAATCATGATAGAGTCATGCACAAATCTTCGTCAAGAGTCTGCACTGGCATAGAGTCATGGTTTGTCATGACGTAAGAGTGCTTTCGCTCCAGCGTGTCTGTCATGTAGATGCTCTCAATGATCACAAGGAGGGGAGATGTGTTCTCGAATTATCTCGCATGGTCTAGGTAGGGTGCAGGTTGTGTTCTTGGCTCCCATACCTGGGAATGGGATGAGATGAAAATTTGACTCCGGCTGTATCTACGGGAACGGTTTAGTTATAACAGTCTTGCCGTACGTCTTCATTTGCTTTATCAGGCGCCTGTTATCACCACAATGCCGAACATCCTGAGAGCCATCAATGAAAGGCGCGATTGTACCGTTGGGCAGAATCGGCTGCTGCTCTATCGTACCATCCGCTGCGCAAAGAATGCTCTACATGAAGCATGTTAGCTCAGAAAAGCTACATGGGGACTCAGTGTTAAGGCAATAGGTACCTTGCGCATATAGTCAAGGCAATGCGGCCAGTGATCGTGGTCGTTCCAGTCTAGTCCCGGGTCGACCCCTCGATGGGCTTCTTGCAGGACGTTTCGAAATATGGAGAGGCAATGGAGTTGGTGAAACCTGTATGAGTAATCGGTCAGCATCGTGTTGCAGTGCGTTCTTTATTGAAGGGAAGGGTGTGCTTACATGGCGATGGTGGCGCTCATACCCGTGTTCCTTTGGGCGGGATCCGTGAGGTTGAATATGATGGAGCCGGAATCTCCTTCAACGTCTTCCCAGAGGCCGTCGTACTTGGGATCCAGCGACATGTGAGCCCAACTCCGACCAAAGACTGCCTCAATTTGAAAAGAACTGGATTGTGACTTGTGATGGAAAACACCGTCGGGTGAGGTGAGAGTGAATGCCACAGCTGCCAGAATGAGTGACGTGGTACAGGCGCAGTATACCAGTAGAAGAGTGGTCAGAGAAGCTAGCTTGTAGGGTCTTGCTGATATGTCTGGATACACGGTTTCTTCTTCAGAATTTCCGTCGTCTGCTTCTTGACTCTGGAGCTGAGAGTAATTGGACTTTGGGTCCATCATCTTTGTGTTTGGTGGTGGACGGATGATGACGGATTTACAGCGAAGACTGGGAGTGGGTGTTAAGGGACAATACAGCGGGGATGTCCACTACAAATACAAGTCGCCCATTAAATTTGCCTCCCCTGCCCCGCTATGCAGAGAGAGGGGGAAGACAGACAGACACGTCAAGGCCATGCTACACAGATTGCAAACGTTTGACAAAGATAGTAATCACAAAGGATACTAGCGATTACAGTTGGAAAATAAATGGCGGGAAGTTCTCATCAAATTACAGATTAGGTTTCCTAAGTCATTTTACGAGCAAGATTCCGTACTAAGTAACTAAACAGGCACCTCACGGCATTCGTCTCTACAACGAGGAGCTTCACACGACACGTTCTCTATCCAGCACTCGCAGCCCGTCCCCTTCACACTCATGGTAGCCTACTTCCAAGTGGATATTCACCGTTCCCCAGTCGTGCGCAAACGGATCCGCCAGCCATGCCTGGCAATGCACGCTGTGGTGCGCGTCCCGATCCCGGTTGGTGATGCCGCCCGTGGCCCGGAAGAAGCGCCGCAGATAAAACGCGCAGTGCCAGTAATGCTGGCCCCAGGTAGAGTACAGGCCGTCGCCCTCCCCAAGAAGGACCTGATCCAGCGAGACCTCTTCGAGAGACGAAATTTTCGCTGCTTCTGTTATCTCGCTACTGTTGTTGCGATAGTATTTCCAGTCCTCCTTGTCATGTAGCTTGATGAAGTCGTCGTGTAAGTCGACGTCGAAGCAGTTGTGCGGCACCCAGCTGTATGACCAGAGCTGGAAATGGCAGCCCCTGGCCCGGGCTTCGTCTGGGCTCACGCCGCAGCTCGTAATAACAGGAGCAGCTGGTGCAATGGCATTCGTGACCGCTGATGTCCGATTGATGATCAGAGGCACCGCCCACAGGATAGATGAGGCGATCACGCCAATGAGGAAAGGACCGAGGAACCTTTTCACGGATTCGAGCCTTGTGTGTTTCCCTTCCTTGCCAGTGTACGGTGATTCAGCGAGGAAAGGCTCGTCCTCGTCATATTCGGCTTGAGGAACCGTCGTCATACTGGAGTTGCGTCTTGTAAGGTGTCAGTTCAATCGGGAAGCATACTAGGTAATCGAATGCAGAACTCACGAGAAACTGAGTGAATTGGTTCTCTTCAGTTGTTAGGTTCCTACTCTATGAGATCTAGTACACGATGGTGGCAATGCAACGACCGCTGCAAAAAACGACTCTTACACTCTGTTCTGTCCCCTCCTCCTCTTCTTTTCCTCCTACTCATCCCCCTCATCCTCGCACAAGACTTGATCCAACCCGCGTCTTCGATACTTTCTCACTATTTCCGTCTATAACGATAACACGATAACAGAAGTCCCTCAGTGCGACAGCGGTGATTTGCCTCTCGAGCTAATGCATGCAGTCAATGCTTGATTGCACCAACATGGTGGGTCGGAGTTCCGTCTTCAAGGTTGTTGTCTTTGTAATCACCACAGATACATCAACCCAATCAGATGATAGCAGATAACCTACTCTGCTGAAGAGAAACACTTATCAAGCATCTTTGTTGCCGAGTTTACCGATGCGAGGTGATGAATCTTGCAAAAGTTCTGTATCGTGCAGTTGTATTAGACTTTCCCTCGAAACTACCAACCGTTTCTAGCCTCCGAGAGACAAGCATCAGCATCCTCCAAACACAACGTTTCCGCTCGTATCCATCTCGTCAATCCCCTCAGCCTGCAGCGCCCTCCACAGCAGAAGCATGATACAGTGCTTGGAGTGATCAAAGTCCGCCGTCAGCTTATCCACCCTGCCACCATCGGCAAATGCGCGCGCCTTTCGAACCAGCATCCACGCGCAGTGCGTCAAGTGTTCCCGCTCCGTGCCCCACCATTTCTCGCTCCTCCCGAGAGATGCGAGGTCTTCCATGCTGAGCTCCTCTTCTCCGGCCTGGTCCCGCCAGTATCGCCAACGAGATTGGTTGTGGGTTGCGCCCGCTGCCGCTTCGAATTCGGCTAGGCCGTAGCGGGGGCAGGCGGTGGGCAGCCAGGCTTTGGCGAGAGCGTCAAAGGCGCATCCTGCTTGCTGGGCTTCGGCGACGCTGCTGCCGCAGCTCAGTTTCTGCTTTGGTACTGTTGACTGTAGAAGACGTAGATGCAGGGATAGTAGAATCAGTAGTAGAGTTCCGAGGATAGTGACTGTTGCGAGTAGCGAGACGAATACAAGCCGGCTTGGCTGTCTGGTGGTGGAGCCTTTGGCAGTCGCAGATGGGTTGGTTGCGGTCTCATCGTTGAGCGGCCGATACTTGCAAGTAGGCGACGGAAGTTTCAATGCTTGGGGAGCCATGTAGTTGAGACTTGAACAATGTTGCAGTTTGTGGTATCATGGTATGCGGGTAGTATGTGGATTTGTCCTATTGATATAGAAGCGGGCAAAGTGGGCAGTGCCAACCCAATGGCAGGACAAGAAACATGCGCGTCCTACCAGTAATTCTTTCAAAACACATCTGGATCTGATCGACTTGAATCTATCTATGAAAAGATTCTAGAAAAGTGCCTGAACTCAAGAGACTTGAACAATATGTCACATACTCCATGGCGAATGCGCGCGAGGCATTGAAATTGAAGGGAACTCTCGCTTCTTACTCCATATCAGTGTTCAACGCCACCCCAGCCACAGTGCCATAACCCGGATCCAAGAAGATCTTGCCGCAATGCTTTATATGCTTCTCGTTGTCTGACCGCGGCTCGACAATCTTGCCATTGAAGCGCGCCCTGTACTCCTTTCTCCAGTAGAAGATACAATGCAGGACATGCCAATGACCAGACATATGAAACCGCATTTCCTCTTGGTTATCTGCCATCTTCGCAATCTCTTCGACGCTGATTTCTTGCGTATGCGCGGTATCAGCCCAGTACGTCCACTGCCCATCGGGGCCGGGCCCGGAGCGCTCAAACTCGGCCGTCAGCTCGTCATCCCGACAGTGCTCGGGAAGCCAAGCGGCGGCCAGAGAGTCGTATTTGCAGCCCAAAGTGACTGCTTCTGCGGTGGAATTTCCGCAATCGCAAGACGTGACTGCGGGTGCCGCGTGCAAGTTGTCCGGTGTTGCGGTTCCCTCCGACTGGAAGTGAGAGTGGATGTTTGTTGGAGACTGGAGGAGGCTAACAAAGCCCGAGATTGCGAATGCAACCAAAATCAAGTCCTTCATGGTTGAGATTGACGGCCTGAATAGCTGGCGATATCGTGAAGTTTTGTGGCTTCGAAACCCCGTAGTCGAAGAGACTGAGTCGTCGTCACAGTTTTCGGCCATGAGAGACTGCTCTTCGTCGTGTGTACTATGCCTGAATGATAGTGTTAGCCCTTGATTCTCTTGAAAGAAGCATCCTAGACTCACCATTTTTCTTTGGGCGCCATTTTCAGCGTGGTCAGTGTCAATGTCAAAGCCAATGCTGGAAGACTTCCGGTTGAGGGAGATGTTGATGTGAGGGATCGCGACCTGGGAGGATCTGTCTATGCCCTGGAGGAGGGGGAATGGTCTACGTCTGTCTCATACATGCTGATGGCTTTCGGGTCTAGCATGATTGCTTACTAGGTTAGTCCAAATACCCCTCCGTGATCTGCACGGTGACTTGGCAAACATGCCAGGGTCGGTCGTGGGCCCGGATTAAGGATCATGGATGCTATGCGGACTGTCACCTAGCTGAGTGGACCGAGATGCATGAAGCCGATAACACAGTAGTATGGAATTGGAAGGATTTTCAAGCGCCGTGGGATCCGAATGATATGCCCAGGAATAGAAAGATGGCGCGAAACATGAAGTTCCCATGCCGAGGCCGCGGTTCTAAGCCATCAACGATTCTTCTTCTGGGGGCCTCTTCGGTTCGCTCCTCGAATAGAGTCTTCCGTTCCAACCATCTATCTTCTTTCCAAACTCAATGGCACCGAAACACAGTTACAGCCAAGTTTCTCAGACATCTGATGTCAAATCCTCCATCGAGGAGGAGCTCGACGAGAGCGACAATGGCCCCGAGTCTGGACGCAAATCGAGGTTCCCCTCCTCCATATTCTTCACGATCTTGCTGAACGGATTGAGTCTCGTCTTTGGCATCGGAATTGGTGCTTCGATCGTTGCAATCATCACGCATAGGCCAGCACCGCAACAACCCAACAATGCCAAACCAGTCGCCGGAACCGTCGCCATGATTGACGGCATCGAGGCGCCAGGCACGCAGTGCGGCGATACTTGGCAAGAAGCTAAAGCTCTCGGCTGCCACTTTGATGTCATGGCATCGCGATGGTACGCTCCCGAATGCTTCGACCAGACGGCCCTCGAAGGCATGCTCGACGAGCAGCCGTACGTCAACTTCACCTGGTACGAGGACAAGGAGCATACAAGAGTCTACCCCTCCGAGCTCGTCTTGCGGGGCGAGTTTGATAAGGTGTATCCCAGCGGAGACTATCACATCTATCACTGTCTCTACTTGTGGCGGAGACTTCATCACGCCGTGATCAAGAATAAGCCTGTCGATGAGGATTTGCTCGAGTACGGCCACACGCTGCACTGCACTCGCATGATTATGCAGTGGATGGATCCAAGCATACCCAGGACAACAATTTCCTCTGCCACAAGCGGGACGCCGTTTTGCAGGAGTAGCCGGTTGGGTCTGATGGTTTAGTGAGAGGGTTGAATAGTTAGTGCAGGGGAAAGGATTGTTGATTCGTTGGTGGACTTGGCACTGCTTGGGACCCTCACCTAAGAAGCTTAATCCAAAATATTACCGTTTTCAGTTGTGCCCCTCTTGAATTGCGCCTTCCATTGGTTGCCGACTCTCTCCATTTCTTCAGCAATAACACCGCACAGACCAGGTGAACTCAACTGAAATCGACGATTGCTTCGAGATTCTGGCTGGCATCTTCAAGTTTGACTGAAACCAGATAACCAGAATTAGCGCTCTTTCATTCAGATAGGTCCTTCTCGGTGACTCTTGAGTCGGGTATCCGGCAGCTTCTTGAGATCGCCAGTGGCAGAACAGCACATCAGATGGTGGCCAACATGACGTGACTGACCAAAGTCCCAAACGGTGAGCGGCTTTGGGTGTGAGCTGCACGTATCATTGTCCCACTCGAGGGAAATATGACCAGATGGGCACTAGTGTTGACTCTTCATATTCATTCAAAGTTCAGAGTTGATAGGCGAATATACTTAATCCCACATGCGGAACGGTGGGTGCCAATATGCATGATCCTGAGCGACATATTCCAGGAAGTAGCTAACCCTGACTGGTGATTGCTATACGAGCGACAATTTGTCAGTTCGGGGTCGCCTCATACTCCGCTGTATGTCTAATTGTCAAGCTATTCTCGGATGAGTACAGGGTAGCATTCACTCGCAGTCCCAAAACAAGGTCCATATGGACAATATGTGGCCCGACCGTCCGAACACTTCTTATGGTATTATATACGCATGTCCCAGTTCTTCAGTCCAATAGATCATACGATACTGTCAAGACATCTTTCTTAGCCACAACCTTTAATCTACCAAATCAAAAGATCAGCACTACTACTACAACAACTACTTCACATACTTTACCGCCAGACAATTCCTACACCATGAAGCTAACGTTCGCCCTCACCGCCCTCCTTGCCACAACCGCCATGGCCGGAGTGGCAAAGATACGCCACGAGGACGAGACTCTTGAAGACAGCTACAAACGCCGCTCCGTCAAAGCTGGAATCGTCCCTGTCAAAGAAGAGGACATCATCTCTCTTGGCGACAGGGCAGTCAAGGCTGGAATTGTTCCTGTCAAGGAAGAAGACATCATTTCTCTGGGAGACCGCTCAGTCAAGGCGGGCATCGTGCCAGTCAAGGAAGAGGACATCATTTCTCTGGGAGACCGCGCTGTCAAAGCTGGCATTGTTCCGGTGAAGGAGGAGGACATCATCTCACTCGGAGATTAGGCAGTCTTAGTCAATGGCAGAGACTACTCGAGATTATGGAGGGCAATGGAGATCTGTTGATGTTCTATCGATCTTCAATCAAGTAGCATGCGTTACAATGACATGGCTT